CACACATGCTAGGCGAGCGCGCTACCGCTTGAGCCACATCCCCAGCCCCCTGCCCTTTCCCTTCTTTGTGCCCCCTAAACACTTCAGCTGTGCCATTCATAATGTTGCACCAACTTGTTTTAACTTTGTTTTCCTTTTTTAGAATGAGAAACTTGTCTCAGTCATGTCAGGATGCCCAGAGCCTCTTAAATTGCGCATATGTTACTAACTGAATGAATGCAAGTGTAGTGCTCCAGGAGGCACCTGGGTGTATGTTAATGGCTATGGTGGACGTGAATAATATGGGATTTTTAGTATACAGATAGTGTTTGGAATTGCATGTAATTGTAGTACAAGGTTTTAGTGATCCAGGATTCTGGTATACTTGAATCCCAGGCTGTTTTTAAGTACTGAAATGTTTTTAGGTATAAATAGTTATTTGGTGTTTCATGATGTAAATAATTTGTGTTTTGAGACATGCCTAGAGAGTTATGTACTGCATTTAGGTTTCATATCCAACAAGATACAGTTTAAAAAATTTTTAAGTTGTCCGTGAACCTTTATTTTATTTATTTATATGCAGTGCTGAGAGTCAAACCCAGTGCCTCACACATGCTAGGCAGGTGCTCTACCACTGACCTACAACTCCAGCCCCAACAGGATACACTTTTAAAGCAGGTAGACTAACTATATTATTTGTGTGTGAGTGTGTGTGTGTGTTTATTGGTGCACTATAATTATATATAATAGTGAGATTCATTGTTAGAAATTTGCATATGCACACAGTGTAATCATATAATTTGTTTATTTCATTCCCCACTGACTACCTCATTCTTTAACATCCTTACGGGACTGGGGTGTAACTCAGTGGTAGAGTGGTAGAGCACTTGCCCAGCATGCAAAAGAAAAAATTCTTTTTTTTTTTTTTTAAATATTTATTTTTTATGGCTCGGCGGACACAACATCTTTGTATGTGGTGCTGAGGATTGAACCTGGGCCGCATGCATGCCAGGCAAGCGCGCTACCGCTTGAGCCACATCCCCAGCCCCAGAAAAAATTCTTGTAAGGTATCTATTAATTTTATTTTGTTTTGTTGTATTTTATTAGTTTAGAGATTGAACCCAGAGCCTCATATGTGATAGACAAGCACGCTAACCACTGAGATACATCCCCCATCCTTTTTATTTTTTATTTTGCGAAAGGTCTCACTAAGTTGCACATGCTGGCCTTGAACTTGCAATCCACTTGCCTCGGCTTTCTGAGTAGGCATACACCACTGTGCTCAGCTGATACCAGTTCCATGTTCTGACATCGTACAAAATCCTTTATCTCAGTTTTGCATTTGCTAATTTGAAGCCATGGGCACAGTGAGCAGACTACACACTTGCACTGTCCTGAAGACACTGCAGGGTTTGAATGGCATTGAGTGACAGCACAGATTCCTATGACTTCTGTAGTTCAGAGCCACAAGGGCCTTAATTACTTTGCATAGTTCTTAATCCCTAAAAAAAAAAAAAGTGCCATGAGAATGACTCATCCCTGGGAATTCTAGATAAATGGAATTTTACTATCCTTATTCCATTCCAGTACCAAGTTCTTCACTGATTGATACATTTGAATTTTTAGTGGGGAGGGGTGTAGCTCAGTGGTAGAACAATTGTCTAGCAAGCAGGAGTCCCTGGGTTTAATCCCAAAGTACTAGAAAAAAATGTTCTGGTGAACTGTGTTGTAATACTCTGGCCACTTTATATCTGGGGCTGTATTAGCTGAGTGGTGATGTAATATAAATGTCTTCAGTAATTGAGGCAAATTGCCTGTTTTTGACAGAATTACAAAGACGCAGGATGTAATTCCCTATCTGCTCTTTTCCATGTACGTCTGACAAATTCTCCCCCAACCAGGCCTTTGACCAATATCTCTTTAGGAGAATGGATTTGTTTATCTGTCCTCATCCAGAAAATACTGAATATTATAAGTACACATACTCAACGTTAAAATATATCTAAAACAATTAATATACATTGTGGAACCAATAGTTTCTGTTGTTTTGAGGACTTTAAAAAAAAAAAAAAAACCCAAAACATGGGGCTGGGGCTCTAGCTCCGTGGCAGAGGGCTTGCCTAATGTGTGAAGCACTGGACTTGATCCTTAGCACCACATAAAAATAAATAAATAAATAAATAAAGGTATTGTGTCCATCTACAACTGAAATTAAAATAAATAAATAAATAAATAGGAACTTCATTCCTTTAAAACAAAACAAAACAAAGCCCAACCACTGCCAGATTCAGTGGCCTATGCCTATAACCCCTGGGAGGTTGAAGCAGGAGAATCACAAGTTTGAGGCCAGCCTGGGCAATTGAGTGAGACCTGTCTTAGAATAAAATATAAAGAAGTTGGGGGTGTAACTTAGTGATTAAGCATCCCTGGGTTCAATCCCCAATACCAAGAAAGCAAAACAAATATACTAGACCTAACCTAGCAACTTGTGCTGGCATCTTACAATATAAATTGATTATTTTAGTTCTTATTGTAAGAAGCATGAACATATGTAGTATAATATTTAACTACAACAAAATAATTTAAAAGTATTGAAGTTGGAAGACTTTGCACAGATCACACAGTCCTACCTCCTGCCAAATGCATTCACCCTAAGTTGGTGACAGTCTACCTCTGATACAATAGTGGCATAGAATTTGCCACTTTCAAAGGGGACAATTCTGTTGTTGAATGGCTTAACTAGTGTTTCTCAAAAAAATTTTTTTTTTCTTTTACCAAAATCCTCATTAAAAAATATATTTTGGACTGGGGATGTGGCTCAGTGGCAGAGCACTTGCCTACCATGTGTAGGACACTGGATTTGTTTCTCAGAACCGCATACAAATAAATAAAATAAAGGTCCATCAACAACTAAAAAATATTTTATATATATATATATGTGTGTGTATGTATATTTTAGCACACACCTGTAATCCCAGTGGCTGAGGAGGCTGAGGCAGGAGGATCGAGTGTTCAAAGCCAGCCTCAGCAATGTAGTGAGGTGCTAAGCAACTCAGTGAGACCCTGTCACTAAATAAAATACAATAAAGGGCTGAGGATGTGGTTCATTGGTTAATGCCCCTCAGTTTAATTCCCTGTACCAAAAAGAAAAGAAAAGAAAAGAAATATTTTATAGGGGCTAGAGGTACCTCAGTGGTAGAATGTTTTCCTCAGATGTCTGAAGCTGTAGGGGGATGTAGCTTAGTGGTAAATTCCTAATTTACCACTCTGGGTTCAATTCCTAATACCAAAAACAAACAAACAAAACAACTTTGCTTACTCTAAGCAAACCAGAGATTTTTCTCCTGTTTTCTTCTAGAAAATTAACTTTTACATTTAGTTCTATGATTCATTTCAAGTTAAATTTTGTATATGGTTGTATTAGTTCATTTTCCTTTACTATAACAAAATACCTGAGGCTGGGAACTTTATACGAAAAAGAAATTTATTTCAATTATGGTTTTGGAGACTAGAAAGTCCAGACAGTGTAGCACCAGTTCTGTTGAGGGCCCCTTGACTGCATCACGTCTTGGCGGATGGCACCATTATGGGAGAGATCACATGGTGAAACAGGAAACCAGAGAGCAGAGAGGAGATCTTTTATAACAATTCATTTTTGCAATTGCATCTGGAGTGCCATAGAACTACTTTAATCTCTTCCCAGGGCAGCAACCCCAAGTGAGACCTAATGACTTCCCACTTCAGGCTCTACCTGGGGTTTGACAGAGTTCAACATTGAAGTGGGCACAGTGACACACCCTTGGGACTCTGGAGGTTGAGGTAGGAGGATGACAAGTTCTAGGCCAACCTTAGCAATTTAATGAGAGACTCTATCTCCAAATAAAAAACAAGAAGGGCTGGGAATGCAGCTTGGTGGTCCAGTGCCCCTGGGTTCCGTCCCAGTGCTGCTCTGCTCTCCCCCACACCAAAAAAGTCAACATTGAAGCTATTTGGGCCTGGAGTATTTTTGTGGAAAGTTTTAAAACTTAACATTTTCAGCCAGATAAAGTTGTGCACACCTGTAATCCCAGCTAGTCAGGAGGCTGAGGCAGGATTGCAAGTTTGAGGCCAGCCTCAGCAATTTAGTGAGACTCTGTCTAAAAATAAAAAGGGGTGGGGATGTAGCTCAGTGGTAGAGCATCCCTGGTTCAATCCCCAGCACTGCTAAAATAAATTATATTTTTTATTTCTTTTAATATTATATCTTTGATTTCCTTAATTTACATAGCAGTTCAGATTTTCCATTTTTTTTTCTAGTGTGTATTTTGAGCATTATCTTGCTTAAGGAATTTTTACATTTCATTTAATTCATTATTTTCTTTTGGTTATAATATTTTATTTTTATTCTTTTTTTCTTTTCTTTTTGATATTAAGGATTTAACCCAGGGGTGCTTTACCACTGAACTACATCCCTAGTTCTTTTTAGTTTTAGATAGAGTCTCACCAAATTGCTTAGGTCCTGACCTCACTAAATTGCTGAGGCTTTGAACTTGTCTTACCTCAGGATTACAGGCATGCACCACTGTACCTGGCTTGTTCTTCTTATTTTTTTTTTTTTAATAATTTTTTAAAGTGGTGCTGAGGATCAAACCCAGTGTCTCACACATGCCAGACAAGCGCTCTCCCTCTGAGCCACAACCCCAGCCCCTCTTAAGTTGAAACTTATCTCATTGATTTTTTTTTTTTTTTGTAGTACTGAGGATTGAATCCGAAGGGCACTCTGCTACCTGGCCTCATCCCTAGTTTTTTAAATTTAAAACTTGTTTTATGGCCTAACATGATTTATCTTGGTGAATGATTGCTGTTAATTTTTTAAAAATGTATATTTTGGGGCTGGGGATGTGGCTCAAGCGGTAGCACGCTCGCCTGGAATGCGTGCGGCCTGGGTTCGATCCTCAGCACCACATACAAACAAAGATGTTGTGTCTGCCGAAAACTAAAAAAAAATAAAATATTAAAAAAAATGTATATTTTGCTGTAGTGTATATTCTAAATGTCAATTTAGTCAAGTTGGTTGATAGTATTGCTCAAATGTTTTATAATCTTATTGATTTTCCAACTTCTCTTTCTATTAATTACTTAAAGAGGAGTGTTGAAATACAAAACTATAATTGTGAAATTCCTTGTTTTCTTTTTCACTTCTACTAGTTTTTGAAGCTTTGTTATTTGATACATAAATACCTTTTTTTGTTATATCTTCTTGATGAATCAATTCTTTCATAATTATATCTTTTAGGGCTGGTAATATTTCTTTCTTAAGCCTGCTTTGTCTGATATTACCAGCCATCCTAGTTCACTTACAATTAGTGTGTTCATAGTATACTTCTGAATTTTTGATATTTGATATTTTTAATATTTGAGTCTTCCTTTTTCCATTACCTTGTATGTGTGTGTTTGCATGTGGGCTAGGAACTGAACCTGGGAACTTACACATGCTAAGTATGCGTACTGTACCACTAAGCTATGTCCCAGCCCCTAATAATTTATTTAAATGGAGTTTAGACTATTTTCATTTAAAGTAAGTATTAATATAGTGGGATAAAAGTATTATCTTACTATTTGTTTTGTACTTTTGCTATTAGTTTTTTTCTTCCTTTTCCCTTTTTTCCATACCCTACTTCAGTAAAAGAATATTGAGCATTTCTTAGTATTTGCTCTCCACCATGAGCTCATCTGCTTAATCTATTGTACTTTTAGTGCTTGCTCAAGGGGTTATAATATACACTTTCCCTCGTTATAATATGCATATAAACTTGTCACACATCACATGTTATATAGCTTCACATGTAGTAGGTCTGGCAACTCACAGCCTATAGGCTAAATATGGATCACTTTATGCTTTTGTAAATGAAGTTTTATTGGAACACAGCCACGATCATTCATTGCATGTCATTTATGGCAGGATTTTTTTTGCTACAATGGCAGAGCTTGTGGTGGTGTTGGGAGATGGTGCACCCTTTAAGAGGTGAGGCCTAGTGGAAGGAAGTTAAGTCATTAGGGTGTGCTCTTGAAGGGAATTAGGGTACTCCCACCCCTTCCTCTCTCTCTCTGCTTCCTGGTCATCTTGAGGTAAGCAGCTTTGCTCTACCATGTGTTTCCTGCCTTGCCACAGGCTTAAAGCCACAGGGCCAAGTGACCATGGACTTTTGAAACCTCTTAATCTACAAGCCAAAATAAATCTTTCCTCCTTTTAAATTGTTTATCTCAGGTTATTTTGTCACAGCAATGCAAAGCTGACTAGTCAGGATTGTGTTGGGAGAAAGGACTAATACACCAGGACTCTTGCCGTTTTACCCTGCATGTATATAGGTTGTGTTCAGCACAGGCTCCAGGGGACTCCTGTGCAGAGTTTTTTTTTGTTTTTTTTTTTTCTTTTTGGCTCAGGGGCACTTGACCACTGAGCCACATCCCCAGCCCCATTTTGTATTTTATTTAGAGAAGGGGTCTCACTGAGTTGCTTAGCTATTGCTGAGGCTGGCTTTGAACTCAAGTCTTCCAGCCTCAGCCTCCCAAGCCACTGGGTTTACAGGCATGCACCATTACGCCCAGCTCCTTGCAAATTTATTGATCTCTTTGCCTACATCATTGTCTCCTTTCTGGTATTCTGCCCTATAACTTCTGGGCATCATCTTCCTGAATAATAATTGCTGTCTAATAAGTCCAGTCCAATTTTCCATTTTTGTAACCCAATTCAGGAAGCCAAAGTGATGGTGGGACTTACCCCACTTGATTTCTTTCTCTTGGGGATCTCAGTTACATTCTCTTTTCATTGCCAAAAACATTTTTTCATGTATTTTACCCAGTTTTCTAGTTTTTTAATAGTAGAATAAATACCAAGTCTAATATTATGTCAAAGGCCCATGAAACTTACTTTAACAGTTTTCTAACTTATTTTTGCATTTTAAAGGTATACAATATCAATTGCAATAATTGCTTTATCCTTTTCAATATTCATATTTAATTTCCTTGTCTAATTCATTGGCTAGATTTTTCAGCATAATGTTAAATAAAAGTATTGATGTTTTCCTAGTATTTTCCACTAAGGGTAGATGAGAAATCTTTTGTTTTGGGTATCAGGGGCACTCAATCACTGAGCCATAACCCCAACCCTTTTTTGTTTCTTATTTAGAGACAGGGTCTCACTGAGTTGCTCAGTGCCTCGCTTTTTACTGAGGCTGGCTTTGAACTCACAATCTTTCTGTCTCAGCCTCCTGAGCTGCTGGGATTATAGGCATGCACCATCACGCCCAGCAGGAAATCATTTTATTTATTTATTTTCTTGCAGTACTAAGGATTGAACCCAGGGGCACTGTACCATTGAGCTACATCCTAGACCTTTTTATATTTTGAGACAGGATTTTACTTAGTTGCCCAGACTGGTCTTGGACTTGAAATCCTTCTATTTCAGCCTCTACAGCCACTGGAATTATAAGTGTATACCACTGTGGCCAGCAGAAAAACATTTTTAAAAGATAATAGTGGGGTGAGGATGTGGCTCAGTGGTAGAGCATTTGCCTATCATGTGTAAGATCCCAGGTTCAATCCCCAACACTGCAAAATAAATAAATAAATAGCCAGGCATAGTGGCTCATACCTTTAATCTTTTGGGAGGCTAAGGCAGGAGAATTGCAAGTTTGAGGCCAGCCTCAGCAACTTAGCGAGGCCCTAATCAACTTAATGAGACTTGAAATCTTGGACTTGAAATCCTTCTATTTCAGCCTCCACAGCCACTGGAATTATAAGTATATACCACTGTGGCCAGCAGAAAAACATTTTTAAAAGATAATAGTGGGGTGAGGATGTGGCTCAGTAGTAGAACACTTGCCTATCACTGTAAGATCCCAGATTCAATCCCCAGCACTGCAAAATAAATAAATAAATAGCCAGGCACAGTGGCTCACTTGTAATCTTTTGGGAGGCTAAGGCAGGAGAATTGCAAGTTTAAGGCCAGCCTCAGCAACTTAGCAAGGCCCTAAGCAACTTAACGCCCCTGGGTTAAATCTCCAGTACCAAAAAATAAAAAATGACTAAATAAATAAACAGATAATAGTCAGGATTGTGTTGGGAGAAAGGACACTATCAAATGGTATTGATGGATATAATGATTGGAGAAGATAATCTGGCAGTATCCAATTAGAAACTCTACCTCTAGGAATCTATTTCACAAATGCTCAGGGATCTATGTGCGGAAGTATTTGTTACAACATTATTTATAAAATCAAAAAATTGTGGGCCAAGGTCATATCTCAGTGATAGAATGCTTGCCTAGCTTGCCTATCATGTGCCAGAACCTAGGTGCAATCCCCAGCATCACAAAACATAAATAAATAAATTTAATTAAAAAAATAAAAATTGTAAAGTCACGACCCACCTACCTCATTTCAAATGAGAACAGACAAATGATTAGATTTCCACTGATAGGATATGAAAGTGAAAGACTGGGTATTGATTTGGTGCTTCTCCAGTAATATTCCCAGGTGTCTTGTTTCTGCAGTTGTCTGACATGGTCCTGAATAATTCTGCCTCCATTGGCCTAGAATGCCTAGTTTGTCTGCATTCTGGAGACTCCGCAAATCCTGGTCTTTGGGCATATAATGAATATGTGAAGTCCCTAACCTCTAGCCAAGGGACTCAATCTTTTTTAAAATTTTATATATATATATTTATATTAGTTGTAGGTGGACACAATACCTTAATTTTATTTTTACATGATGCTAAGGATCGAACCAAGGGCCTTGCGTGTTCTAGGTGAGCACTCTACCACTGAGCCCCAACCTCAA